AGAAAATAAAATTCTCGTCTATATTGTATGGTCGTTGAAGAACATCTTTAGATATTGTTATTTTGTATAAAATGTTGCCATCAAGCTGTAAAGTATTTGCATTAATTTTGTCTTTCATGGTTTAAGTTTTTGACTTTATTCTGTAGATTCTTATGATACTACTATAAGATTATAAAAACAGATTGCCAACTCATTTTTCACATATGAAATGACATCGATCTAATTATAGATCGCGAGGTCATATTAGAAGCAATTATACTTTAACCTGGCGATCTACAATTCGATAGCTGTCATTTTATATGTAAACTGCTGAATGTCATCGATCGTCATTTCCAAGCCAACTTAATGCCGTTGTTTTTACGCTTATACGGTATATTTATGCCAACGAAACATATTTCCTAAATATTGATTTCCTTTTTCCCTATTAATGGTAGTTTGTATCAATATATTAAAATGTTTTTTTTTAACTTAGGCTAGGCGCTTACATGGTGTGGTGCAGGTTTGCCATTCGTGGGTTCTGAACCGACATTTAGAGTTCCAACAAATCTCGCAAGAGACCGGCTTTGTGAATTGAATATGTCTCATCTAAATAATCTCAGAATGGAATATGTCAAGAAAATCTTGACAAGATCATTCCAACGCCGAACACTTCGAAGACGCCGAATGCCGACTCTGTATGGAAGATGATAAAGCCATGAAAATTGTCATGTTTACCTGCCCCGCTGGGAGCAGGACTAGGTTTGAGGTGTTTGGAAAAACCATGCTAAACTTATCAGACCTTGGAAACATATCACCATCGAACATAACTATACAGGGTGGCGCACCTCATTCGCCTCGGTTGATTATACGAAAACGGAAAGATGTAGAAACAAAATATTTTATGGGTATATGCGGGGAGAAAATGTGCACAATTTAAAATTATTTTGAAATATACAGGGTGTTTTAGAACTAAGATCCATACCAAAGTTATATTTTTTCTTATGGAACACCCGGTATTTTATTTTATTTTTGGATTCTTGGGCCCAAAAAAGGCTTTTATTATAAGCATTAAATGTGTTTAAAATCTTTAGTTTTTGAGATATTTAAAGATATATAAATTTGCATTCTACAATAGAATATACTATTAACACCCTGTAGATTACTTTTCAGAATTAATTCTTATGCTGAGTTTAAAGGTAGAGAAATCAACTTTACTCAAAAATGGTATTGGTTCCTTAAATTTATACAGGGCTATCAAAAGTTGCTGGTCTATTTTAAGGATATATTTTATATAAAAACTTCGTTATTTCAAGTGCAACACCTATATTTTTTTAAATAAATCGAAGCAGATTCAAATGCTCTTTCAAACTATATTACGGTTTTCTATACCTATCTAGCTCAGATTTTGAATAAAAAGCGATTTTTAAATAAAATTGCAATCAAGATGGCTGGTATCGCCATGGCAATTTTCTAGTGACAGTTAGTAACTATTTTCAAAGTCGACATTAGTTTATGGACATTATTATTTATAATTTATAACAGTTTACTTAAATTTACCTACAATATAGTTTAATAAGTAAGTGTTCATTACTTTATCATGAAAAACAAAGCAGTATCTGCTGGCGGAACGAATAGATATGTTACTAGTGATATTATTTTGTGAGGAAAATTGCTTCTTGGCCTCAAGGGCTTATGCTCAAAGATATCCAAATAGGAATCTTCCAGATAAACGTTTCTTTGGAAAACTTCTTGTCCTATTTCGCGGAGCTGGTAGTGGGTTTATAAAAAATCTATTAGAAACCTGTCGTTAGAAGTGAAGAAAATGAATTTGCCGTAATTGGCTCTTTTATAGAAAATCCATATATCTACAAGTAATCGTAAAATAATTCAAAGAACCACTTCCTCGTTTTTCTTGATAGAATAATAAATGCATATTTAATAAATATTATTAATAAATATTATTTATTAAACTTTTGTATGTAAATTAAATAAAAGTAAACTGGTATAAATTTAAATAAGTCCATAAACTAATTTCAATTTTGAAAATAGCTACTAATTGTCACTAGAAACTTGCCATGACAACAATCAAGATGGCTATCTTGATTACAATTTTATTGAAAAATCGCTTTTTATTCAAAATCTGAGCCAGATAGGTAGAGGAAACCCTAATATAGTTTGAAAGAGCATTTAAATCTGCTTCGAAATATTTAAAAAAATACATAGTGTTGCATTTGAAATAACAAAGTTTTTATGTAAAATAAATATTAAAATAGACCAGCAATTTCTTATACCTTTGTATACATATAAGGGAGGAATAACATTTTTCTGTAAAGTCTATTTTTCTACTTTTAAACTCAGCACAAGAATTAATTCTGAAAACTAATGTACAGGGTTTTAATAATCTATTCTATTGTGGCATGCAAATTTAAATATCTCAAAAACCAAAGATTTTAAACATATTTAACCCTTATAATAAATAACTTTTTTGGGCCAAAGAATCCAAAAATGAAATAAAATACTGGGTGTTCCATAAGAAAAAATATAACTTTGGTATGGATCTTAGTTCTGAAACACCCTGTACATTTCAAAATAATTTTAATTTGTCCACATTACCTCTCCACAATACTCATAAAATATTTTGTTTCTACATCTTTCCGTTTTCCGTATAATCAACCGAGGCGAATGAGATGCGCCACCCTGTATAAGTCTATGTTAAAAGCTTGAGTCTTGAGGGTGAATTTTAATACTTTATCGTGCAGAACTGAGCCAAATAACCCTTTGCGACCAACCACTAGGCCAATAATTGTCGTGGTTCCAGGTGGAGGGTTCCACCTGGAACCCTCTCTCGATAAAAACAATAGGCGCCCATACGCAATTTTGAGTCGGCCGATTAATTAGTTAGAGCAAAAAGAAAGATTTCGAAGAAGCTGCATACATAATAAGCAATAAACTAAATAATCGGCCGACTTGAAATTGCATGTGAGCGCCTAGACTAAAAATTGCATGCAGCCTAGGCTCTGACATGCAATGTTTAGTCAGCCAAATAGTTAGCTACAAAAGTGAAAACAATATATTCGTATGGAGACGATCGGCCGACTACTTGATTGCATGTGAGTCCGGCTCCATATTAGAAACAAATTGACTGTCAGCGCATTAGCCTAAATTGTTGAGTACGACCTAGATAGATGATGACATGTTATTTTGATGTCTTTATAATTTATGCCAGTTTTTTTTTCTGCATATGCTAATACAGTTACAATATTATTTATTTCAAATCAATGTATTGAATATTTTGCAATATTGAATAATAAATAATAAACAAGTAACATAAATAGAGATCATTACTTTAAAATACAAAACAATACTAAGTACTAAAAATGAAATAAGACGATTAAATCTAACAACAAATTGTGTCAAGTACCACAGAACCACTCAGAGGTACTTTAAATAGCATTCCCAAGTATTATGTAATTTAATATCATTATTTTTTTTAAAAACTACATATCCTGATAACATATTTCAGGTGTCATATCTCAAATAAAACGTAATTTAACTATATAAATGCTCATTGTCAATTTAAGATCGGAATTCAAAGTATTTTGTCTCTTGTGAAGAATAATTAATAAAATTTAGAGGATTATACGGGAGCGACCAACAATAACTGAAATAGTTGACTATTCTGATTTTGCTGGCTTGGTTGGCAATACATTTAAGCAATTCGAATATTTATCGGCCTTTTATCACTAACATTGATACGAACTAAAAATTAAATAATATATTATTATTTTTTGACAATATTTAAATTTGTATTTCATAATAATCTGAGACTAATCAAAACGACATGAGAAATTAGAATTTATAATTAATTGAATAATTTTGTTAAAATATATATGTTAGGGTACGTGCTGGTTATAAATTGCGACAATAAAACGCATATTTTTAAGGTATCATAAACTAGTTTTACTCAAAAAAAAATGTTTAAGGAGTTCTACATATTTTTATAAATTTAAAAGCCAAAATGTACCTTTTTATGGACTTATCATATTGTTCCATCTTCTTGTGTTACTTTCTGGTTAACAGTATTTTGAAATCGTGCAACTACATTTACGTTTCTGATATTTAATAAATAATTAAACGGTGCTCAAAATTCTGTATTGAATCTTTATTCAATACAGAAATCATTCTTAATGTTAATGCGCCGATTACGTTCAATTTTTAACAGAGAAAAGTCATTATTATGCATTTCTTTTCCATCCTGAACACTATAGCTGTTGTATAAAAAATAGTATCTTTTTACATTGGAAAATATATCGAATTCACAATAACAAAGTGAAAACTTGCCAAGAAAATTGACGTGAATGAATTGACATTATTTGCTAGAATTTTTCTATCTTTCGATACTTTATTTTAGCATCAGTACCAATAACTTATCCTCAATGAGGTTATATACAGGGAGACGCTATGAGCATTTAAAGTGCTTGCGAAAAATGGTAACACTAGGCGTGGCTTAAGCCAGCACCAATATGGCGGCATTAGCAGGGCCGGTTTACAGAAACTTCTTTGAAAAATTTTATTTTACACAATATAACGACCTCAACTTTTTTAAATAAAAAAATAATTAATCAAAATAACTACAAAACCTACAATTTTTTCAAAAATATAAATTACAAGATTAATTTTAATGACTATATACTATGTATATTTAAGGAGGAAACACAAAAAAATAATACACATTAAATAAATTAAATTTTATTGCTCATAAATAACACTGTTTTGTTGCTAGTATGTCTTAAACTAATTGCCTTGTTTTTATTGATGTATCTAACAATAATAACCTTAACATTTAAAAAAAAAATAGAAAAAAAGCGGAAAATAATTAAACATGATTACTGATTTACCATAATTAACATTTTGATAATCATTAAAATTTAGAAATCTTAGGAAATAATTATTTATTTGAGATATTTTATTGAGATGTTCTGTCAAAACAGCTATCAGAAAAATGTTTCGAGCATAGAACACTACCTGATGTAGCTTGCCAGTTTCTCCTGTTCAGAAACTTCACCTAAGCTTCTCGACGGATGGGATTTATGAAACCTAAAAATCAGATTTAATATAATATTTATTTGATAAAAATTTTCTAAAGAGAGCAAAATTTATATACTACGTACTAAATTTAAAATGTTCTGATATAAAATTTTATTAAAATAATAAATGTTTATCAATAAATATAAGTCGTTAAGACTTTATCTGCAAAAAATAAATTTACTTTGTTGATTTTATAATATTTATCTAAAAATTAAAGCTATACTATATAAAGTTTGTACATAGTATATGCTAGCAGATGCTAAAAAGGAATGTAAATAAATGTTTAAGTACAAAATCTTAGTGTAAAAATAGAAAAATAAACCGTAGTTAATGTTAGTCCTGTCAAAAAAAGTATATGTAGTAAAAATAACAGATATTGTTAAGAATTTTATTTACAAGAATAGAAGTCGAGGCATGTTTTAATTACTTAATTGCCTCTAACAAAGTATTAAATAACTAAACACTTTGTCAATATAGAAACACTTAATATTTAATTAATAAACGCATAACTAGTTAAATGGAAAATACGAAAATAATTTAATCAGGTCCTGTATTATGTTTACACTTACCTGTGACATGCAATTTCAGTGGATTTCTTCCTCTCTACACGGTGTCGACTGCAAAAACTACTTACAGCACACGAAGACATGTTCGGAAAGTCCAAATATTCAAATAAAAACACAAAAATAGTCTTGAAAAATTAAAAAAACACTCGCAGTTAACCTCAAAAACACTCGCACTTAACCTCAAAAACTGAACTGTCAGAATTGCCAGTACCAATATGGCGTAACTGGGTACATTTCTCGATAGCTTATGTCGCCTCCCCCCTTATAACCTCATTGCTTATCCTAAAATCCGGTAACACAGTGTTGCCAACTAATTCAGTCATTGTGGATTGCTCCCTAATATTTTATTGCACTATTTATGTTGTATGAAAATGTTTGTTTGTTTCAAAAAACATGTGCCATATCTTGTAGGGAGATTATTGACGTACAAATAAGATTTATTTTATATCATTGATTTTTTAGTTATTTTAATTTCCTTCCAATTGCTTTTAGTGATTTGAATAAAATTTTGAGAGTAAAAGATATTACTACTGTCATATATTTTAATGCTAAAGAAGCCTCAAATTGCTTTGCTCATTTGTATTTTGCGTCCTATTGCATATTTGACCAAGGACGTGTTATAATGTGGAACCATATGGGTTATCACTTGAGAATAATTTTCTAAAATAAAAAACATATTGTGTAAACCGTTTAAAAATTGATTCTCACTATACCTTGCGTATCCGCTACTTTCCGTTAAAAGTTTGGTAAACAAATAGGACAATGCACACTATCCGTTCAATTTCCGTACCGTTTTCATGGTTGCGTTTGATAGTGTGAATATGATCAAATTATACGAAATGTATACTAAACGAATATGGAACGGAAAAGGAAGGTATAGTGAGGTTCAACCTTAATGCGGATTAAAAGTTGTCACTTGTTATTTGTCGATATCGGTCTCATTGCATTGATGAGATAAAAGCAATTTTATAAATTAGCCTGAATCCAAGTCTAATAGTAACATTTAAAATGTTTTAATGTCAATAACTGACCAAACGGTTAAATAAGTACTCATTGATTCCTCCATGCATAGTTTTAAAGTTACACGATGTTAAATCTTTTATATAATTGCTCTTTTTTAATACTATTATTTTTTTTAATTTGCTATAGAGAAGAGAGCCTAAACCTAAACATCAGTTGTATAGATACTAATAAAATTTAATAATAGGTACATTAGATTAAACAGGGTTGTTCACCACATACGACGCGGAGTATTGTAGCTTAACTCTTATATTTTTGCAAATTGTACGTTTTGGGTTCATTGAGGGACTATTAGAGCTACAATTTAAAAATATTTTTACAAGATACAGAGTGGCCCAAATAAATAAAAAATATCAAAGTTGTATTTTTTTAAATGGAACACCCTGTATATTATTACATTTTTAGTTTCTACGATTAAAATAAAGGTAAATTTGATTAAGGTTTACCGCATTTTAATCCCACCCTTTTTGAAATATTTAGGTTTTTGTCAAAATACAATAATAATTTTAATGCTTTATTTCTCCAGTCGTATTTAAGTTTTTAAAACCAAATATTGTAGTGATATTGTCTATTTACTAAATTTTGTGTTTTATTAATAAAAATTATACTACCTTATACAGAGTGTCTAAAATTTTACTTTAAATAATAATTAGCTATAAACGGCAATAACTTGTTTAATTTAAATGGAACACCCTGTATATTTTACAAGAATCAGATGCACAATTTAATTGTCTATCAAATTATATTGTATCATATTTTACCTATGTCTTCAGGTTTTCGTAGAAAACGCATTTTCTTATAATTTAGACCTCAAAAATCATTAATATACCCATGGAATATTGACATTTTTGATTATTTTTATACATGTAACAAATTTTTAAATGGTACAGATACTAATATTGTCGATATAGTTCGTTTATGTTATTAAAAAATAAAAAAATGTTTAAATATTTGTAAAAGAGAACAAAATAATATGATTCCAGTATTCAAACTACATTAATTGACTGTTTGCGTTGATTAATAATAATTGCTCCAAATACTAAAAACCTTAATTTTGTATGTGCATTAGACAGCCTGGTAAAAAGTAACACCTTAAAAATGTTATTTCATTTTTTGACGGATGCTTATTTATAACAACAGAGACGTTCATTTTCATAACTTATTATTATATTGATTTCTGATTCCAAATCCACATTTATTTAGAATAATTTATTAACTAATACAATTAAATATGTAATTAATTAATATTTTGGCGGAAATAATGGCGGTATATTTAATTAATGTTTCTCTTTTATAAAGATATAAATAGTTTTATTTTTGTATACCAATACTGGTATAATATTATCGTTTTTAGCACCTGTACATTTGTTGCTTTAAAAACAATCTAAAATAACAATATTCCATGGGTATTTTGATAAATGAGGTCTAAATTATAAGAAAATGCATTTTCTACGAAAACCTGAAGGGATAGGTAAAAATGGCATAATACAATTTGATGAACAATTAAATTGTGCATCTGATTCTCCTAAAACATACAGGGTGTTCTATTTAAATTAAACAAGTTATTGCCATTTAAAGCTGGAAATTATTTAAAATAAATTTTTAGACACTCTGTATGAGGTAGTATTATTTTTATTATTGCAACACAATAACTGATCAATAATTAAACTTCAGTAAATATCTAGTATTAAAAACTTTGATACCCTTGGAGAAATGAAGCCTTAAAATTTTTACTGCAATTTCACAAAATTGAAAATATTTAAAAAACGGTAAGGTTTAAGAGTGATAAACCTTAATCAAATTTACCTTTATTTTAATCATAGAAACTAAAAATGTAATAATATACAGGGTGTTCCATTTAAAAAAATACATTTTTATTTATTTGGGACACTCTGTATCATGTAAAAATATTTTTAAATTGTAGCTCTAATAGTCCTTCAACGAACCTAAAACTTACAATTTGTAAAAATCTATTCGTTTAGCTACAATACTCCGTGTCGTATGTGGTGAACAACCCTGAATAAATAATGTATTAATTTTATTTTAATTTTAGTTTTATAATTGTGATTAATAAAATGATCTCATCAAGATGATTGAAAGCGACAAAACATCAAGATACAACGTTTAATCGACATTAAATGACATACACACTTCTTTTAGAAAGTTATTCCAGTGATAACCCTAGTGAATCTATCCAAGCATATCGAAAACATGTAGAAGTTGTAGTATTTTTTACCCCCAAATTTCATTCATTGTAGAGAGTTATAATAAATCGAAAAAGTGACTACTTGAATCCATGGAGCTACGAAACAAAGCGGAATCGGACCTATGTTGCTATAAAAAAATTAAAACTTATTTTGACGTGAGGAATGAATTCACGAGAGACGGCACATATTTTTTAAACACCCTGTATAGGAAAATTTATATATTTATTTCAGAATCTTTATATTAATCTATGTTGCCTTTCTGTCTTACTATTATTTTTTTCCAGACACTTTTTTACAATTTCTCAGTAGATATTTCTGGCTTGAGTGTTTTTGAAAATTTTTCATTTTCTTCACATTCGCGCTAAAGACGGATTATACCATTAATCCACCTTGAAGAAGTAATGAGTATTTGCCCGGAAGCGAAGAAAAAAGGGCAATATCTTTCCAGCGGAAAATAAATACATCCAATTTCTCCCGCCATTATTGGAATTTTTCGGGTAATATAACAAAAAGCACGTCAGGGCGACATTTTCCAATATGGACCACATGTTGAATCGAGGAGAATTACTCAAGTAGGAATAAAAACGACTACAGTATATGTTACAGGACGAAAAAAAGGGTGGAAAAGCTGTTAATATGTATCATAAATAATATACCATCTAAAAAATCTACATCATATCAAATTAGTTTTTGTATTGAAGCATTCATTTGATATTTTTTCAATTATTATTCTTTTCTTTAGCTTTTTGAATTACCGGTGTTACCGATCACTGATTTAATTTTTAATAATCAATTTCAACAAATGTTTAGTTAAATCATAGTTTCAGTTGCTTAAGGATAAGAATAAATTTGATATACAGGGTGTCCCAATATTCCGTGGATAGTACTACGTATTTTTGGATCAAAATAAGTTCATTGAACACAATTTACCTCTATACAAGAGTGCTTCGTTGGTTCCCTAGAGGGTATCAAACTTTAAAAACATAAACACATTTTTTCAGATATTTTAAGAACCGTTAGTCCGATTTGAATGAGATTTTGCATGTCTATATTTTGCTAAGTGCTTTAACATTTGGCTCTCACAGAAATTAGGAAAATGTACGGGAAGAGTGAAAACTACCCCCATCCATACATAAATTTTAATATAAATATTTTCTCCAACACCACCGACGACAGATTTTATATTAGTAAAATGGCCCCTTACTACATTTTTTGTCTCGTGTAAAAAACACGCTACATTGCATAATTCTTATGAACAAAAATTTTGAAAAATTTATTTTTCCTAACCAAACCAAACCAAACAACTACGTAATTTTTGGATCAAGATAAGTTAATTGCACATAATTTACCTTTATAAAAAAGTGCTTCGTTTATCCGTTACAGAGCATCAATAAAAAATAAACCCGTATGTTAACTAACTTAATAGTTATTTTTTATACAAGACGATAAAATACATACATACATACCGCCATTACTCGCTGACGAGTCTTTGACACGCATCAGAAGATGGTCACGCAAGGCGTTTTCTTTCATGAGCTTTCCTGTGACTGAAAAGCCCGATACGTGATGTTATCTGTCTACCGCACTCCAGACATTCAAAAATCTCATTGCTTTGTTGCCTCTTTACTTTTTAGTTGTCGCTCTTAACTGACTTTACAATTCTTCTCCATTCCGTTCTATTGTGAGCTGCCTCTTCCCACTCATTCTGCTTGTTAATTCCCTTTAAGTTTTCGTGGAAAATATCCTTGAACCTTTTGAGTTGCCCACCCGGCCTCCTCTTACCGTCTACAAGCTCACCGTAAAGCAGAGATTTTGGTATGCGGTTTTCTTGCATTCTGCATACGTGGCCAACCCATCTTAAGCGAGACTTTGTAATCATGACTTCAATACTCTCGCAGTTAGCTTTTTCAAGGACCGATACGTTTGAGACATGATGGAACCATTTTATTCTTAAGAGTTGTCTAAGATGTCTCTGTTCCAACTTGTTTAATGCGTTCATGCGTCGACGGTACGGCACCCAGATTTCGCTTCCATATAACATGGTGGGAATTATTATCGCTCGGTACACCGCAAGTTTCGTTTTTGTGCTCAAGTCATGATTGTAGAAAACCCTGTCTTTTAATTTCCAGAATGCCCTTGAGGCGCTGCTAATCCTGTGCTGAATTTCAGAGTCTATATTGGCCTTTTCCGAAATCAAACCGTCATGATACCCACAAGACGATAAAATGGTATTTTATCGTCGACCGAAAAGATTAATTCACAAATTAATTTCGGGAGACGATAATGCAATTTTATCTTCGTGTATAAAACAATATTTTTTTCCAAAGCGAGTTACGTTTTAAACAATATTCAGAAATTATTATTTCAAGGAATTTATTACGAGTAGAAAAAATATTGTGCTTGGTTGGCGTTGGTTTCTATGTAATTTGACAAATAAATAAAGCTGTCTCTTTAGTTGATAGTTTGGAGACAATATATTTTAATTCTCTTTCGTGTCGATTGCTGATTGAATTGGAGCCAGAAATGGCTCAAAACGAAATAAGTAAACTACCAATAGATATTCAGACTGAGACGAGAAACGCCATATCCAAACTACTTCCATTTAAATCCCGAATAACTTATGAAAAGGAATACAAAAATTTTCAAAAATGGAAGCAATTAAAAAACGTGCGAGAAGAAATACATTTTTTAACCTATTCTCGCTGTTAAAGTATCATTTAATCTACCCTTGCGGTTAAAGTACTATTTTATCTACTATATTTGATAGATAAGGCAATTTTAATAGGTGGCATGGAAAAAAGTATTAATTTTTTTAAGCTTTTTATGAAGCTTATTGTCAAATACATTTCGTGATACTAATATAAAATTCTATATTTTCGCTAACTAGATTATTAGAGCATAATAATATTCATAGCTTGATGTGACAAATAACATTTTTGGAAGTCAGCTTTGGAAAAATAATTTTTTCTTCAAAAAGTATGCACGGTGGGGTTTTGTTTACAATAGTCAAAAAATGTAGTAAATACTAGAGGGGCCATTTTACGAAAATCGGCCGTCGATGTAGTTGGAAAATATTTATACTAAAATGTATGTAGGAGTGGAGGTAGTTTTTACTCTTCTCGTATTTTTTTGTAATTTTTGTGAAAGCCAAATGTTACCAATTAACCAAATATAAAATTTAAATTATAATGTGAAATCAAAAACAAAAGTTTATTTCTTCATCACTTTCTCGTTAATTATAAGTTTCTACTCCTCAATAGTTTTAAAATGATGCGTTTAAATAAACAAAAAAAAATGGGCTCAACCGGGATTTGAACCCGGGACCTCTCGCACCCAAAGCGAGAATCATACCCCTAGACCATTGAGCCGCATATTTGTTTAAATGAAAATCACGTACGTTTTGCGTTGGCTGCTTTCACTCCTCACCTAGATTTTAAAATCACGCTGCGATACAGGTGAAAGTGTGCCCGCGTTACAAAAATCAATTTAAATTATTTAAACAATATGGCTCGTTGGTCTAGGGGTATGATTTCCGCTTAGGGTGCGGGAGGTCCCGGGTTCAAATCCCGGACGAGCCCAAAACTGTTTTATTTTTTTTTGTATATAAACACGAAAAATGTTGGAAAAATGTTTATATAATATGCTCTTTAGTTTAATTATATTTGCGTTGTACTTATGTTTTTTTAATTTATCAATTATTATATTTTCTTGGCATTTTCGCTTATATGTATTATCTATCTATTGGTCAAACATAATACGGATACCTCAATTTAACTCAGTTATTTCAGAAGCACATATGTACGGTATTACAGAAAAAAAAGCGGTGTCCGGTTGGCTTGGAAATGAAAATCGACATTCTCCATATAATTTTACATATAAAATAACATTATTTCATACCCTTCCAAACACTTTTTAATGTATTTTTAACAGAAATAGCTAGTCATTTACTAAAAATTGGCATAAAACTTGTCAAAAATTTTGCAGATACAAATCTATTTCTAAAAAAATATATCTTTCTCGAATTTTAAACTACGCCATTTAAAAATCATTCTTCCTCAATATAGAAATAAATTACTGGCAGTAAGCGCAATTAAAAGCTAAGGAAAGGGTACGGGCCAAGTAATGACGTCTAGGGCTTGTCCTCGCCAAAATTATCATCGATTGTCGTTCCCCAGCCGCCCTTGACGCCATTTTTTTTTTGATCGTGGTGTATATTTTTTAGTAATTTTAATAAGGCAATAACATTTATTGACTGTACCTAAAACAAAACTAGGAAATTATTGAGTTTATGCTACTTCACATTTCAACACTTTTAAATCAAATCAGAACGCCATAGATAACCCGGAATTTAAGTAAGCCAAAAGAAATTTAAGTCAAAATAAAAAGACCAAAATGTAACATCTCAACAATATTAGCACGAGTGCCAAGGAACTTTAAATGTTTCTTTGTAGGTCTATTTAGAGATGTTACTTCTTTGGTCTTTTTTATTCAATATTCCTATACAGGGTGAGCCCTAACCAGGTGCAATTATTTTTAGTTGAAGTATACTCTGTTTTTTTTTCAGGTAATATTTCGACAGACGACGACAGAAAAAAGCAGATGGCGTCCATACCAATCCATTTATTTCACTAAAAAAGTTTCTAATATTTTTTTAAATTAACTATGGATGGATTTATAATACATAAATCCGTTACGCGTCGTTTCTTGTTGTTTTTAACCAGTTTTATTATTTTTTGTGTCAAAAATTAGAGGTCATATTTCAATATTATTGGTTTGAGGGAACGATGAACGAAAAACGGATGCCGATGAGTATGAACTCGACTTTTTATTTTACATATAAAATATGATGAGATTTTTGAGAGTTGTCAAACTCTTGCCAAATTACTTATAGGGTATAATTTTATGTCAAATTATGTCAAATATAAATGATAAATATTTTGCATTTTGGACTGTGTTATTAAGTGTATTTCGTGTTTTTTTTTTTAAATTAAGTGTAGGAAAACTAGAGGAAAAATTAAGTGTTGACCCAGACTATGGTTTACAGTTAATGTTCGCTACCCAGAGACACAGTTTTCCAGAGAGTTGTATGAGCCACAAATAAAGTTTGTATCTCTCTTTGGTCTGTTTCTCTGAAGAGGGATTAGTGACTATGATGTTCCTGTAGCGGTTTTTATCGTATTGTGCCAGTCCGCTCTGTTTTGAGCCATGCTGACGGTTTCATGAAGGCCTTGGCCGATTAGGTCTTTAGTTTGATCAACCCATCTCTTGGGTGATCTTCCTCGTGGTCGCTTTCCCTCTACCTTTCCCTCGACTATTAGCAGCTGCAGTGAGTCCATTCTTCTAGCAATGTGACCAATATATGTCAGAAAACATCGGTTTATTTTTTTTTGAGAGGCTGAGTTGTGAGTTTAGTTCTTGGAGAACTGACACATTCGTACGATGGGCTGTCCAAGGTATACGTAGCAGACGTCTATATGCCCACATTTCAAAAGCATATATTCGCCTGGTATCGCTTTTCTTCAGCGTCCATGTTTCCGCCCCATTCGTAGCAATCGGGAAAACAAGCGAGTTCAGCAGTCTTAGTTTGGTGTTCTTAGTGATGGCTGTATCTTTCCATATCTTAGTTAATTTAGTTACGGCTGTTCTAGCCAGCGCAATTCTACGTCTTATTTCGCCTTCGCATGAGCCGCTGTTGTCGATTAGCGATCCCAGATATAAGTATTTATTAACCACCTTAAATCCAGCTATGTTTCCCACGTGAGGTTGGTTGTTGTTTTGTCGGTCCACAATCATGACAGTAGTTTTGTTAGGATTAAGTTTTAGCCCAAATTCTGTACTAGTTTCTTGGAGACGTTGCATAATAAATTCCATTTCTTCCACACTTGCTGTTATGATTAGTGTATCGTCGGCATATATTAGATTATTGATTTTCCTTCCCCCCACAGATACTCCACCTTGCCAGTTATCGAGTTTGTATACCATCTCGTAAATGGTACCAAAAACTGGAGTATCTGCAAAATAACATCACACGATAGGTAAATAATAAATTTTAGTACTCCGGAGAGATAATGTTAAAAGGTACTGTTATAAAGTTACAGAACCAACTTTTAAGGTTTAAAACGTAGTAAGTGTTATTATTAATAAAATACTATTTTTTATTTGTGTTGTGTTTTATTTATTCCTTTTCAATATTAATTTTTTTTTATTCGTACATAAGTTATACCGTATGATCGAAAAAAAAACGGCGTCCAGTTGGCTGGGAAATGAACATCAATGACATTTCCCATATAAATTTACATATAAAATGACAGAGATCTTCATTCCATAGCCATCGCTGACGCCGTTTTTTCTCGATCATACGGTATTAATAAATGTAATAATAAATGGAGGAAGTTGCTCGACTTTGAAAGTAAGAAATAGTTCTTTGTTATATTTTTTTTTGGTATGTTGTGTTTTGTTTAAAATAGACTTGTTTGTTTTGTATTAACACATACTGTAATTTTTTTTAATTAAATAACTGGATCGGATTTTTTCAGTTTTATACAGTTTCTTTTCACAATATTTTGAAGTAATCACTTGTCACTCAAATTTTAAATTGATTAATTTTCTGCTATGCATTCCAATTGTACCAACTTATTTCTTTGTAAAAAAATTAAACTACATTGAAATTAAAATGACAGGCACATCTATGACTGTCAAGGATTTTGTCGTTGGACAGACTGTATATTTCGACCTCAGAAACATGTTTATGGTGAAACAAAATGGTATTTTGCGAAAAAATGTTTGATTTTTTTTAATCTTTACTTATATAAGTATAAACCGTATATTCATATTTTTCAGAAAGTTTCAATTTTTTTATATTTAAACTCTATGTTGATTGTCCTATGTTTTTTAGATTCAATCAAAATTTTAAAAACTAAACAAACTCTTATATCCAATATTTTTATTTCAAAATAAAATTCAAATCTTCCTTTCGACAAATCATTTCATTTACTTATGCCATTATTTTGAACAGGAACAAAACGCTCCAGTCATTATTCTAGCGAAGTTATTTGCGATAGTAACTTCTACTTATCTCCGGCGCCCATAAAACTTTTAATTTCTCAATTAATTTACAAAGCACGTTCAACTACAGGAGCATGAAAAGGAGAATTGAAACAAGATGTCCTGTTTAGTCAGCAATTCGCCAACTTGCACCAACTGCAATTCTATGAATATCTAGCGCAGGCTGCCGGGCGACAATCGGATTATTATACGGGATCGCTCGAAAATTGTATAATTTGCAGGTGGATTATTTGAAAGAATGGATGGCTTAAAAACGTTAAAACAATTTAATGTTCGATTAAAGACAATGCCCGTTCCGAATTAAAAGGAAAATTTGAGTCAACTTTAATTTAACTCTATTTGTATAAGTTGCCGAAACTAATAAAGATTTCAATATAAAGTAATTAAGTATTGATTGACGCGAATTTTTCCAGTCCAAGCGCTAGCAACATTTTTGAGAAAGTATTTTAAGACGTCTGGCTCTTTGATAAATCTTTTACTATGCTCTTTGGAATAGCATGCGGCCCGTCCGGCTGCCGATACCCGTTGCGTTCGCTACCGCGCATCGGTAGAAGATTCTATATTTTTTATTAATTTATTCGTATAAATTCTAGTATTGAATATAAATCGAACATGTCTCCATAGCGCAGTGCGTAGAGTTTCCGACCACGAACCGATGATTCAGAGTTCGAATCCGGGTCAGGACAAAGACTTTTTTATTTTATTTTCGCTTATATTCTGATAGTAAAGTATTAAATAAATTTGGTGATTAAAAAAAAACAAATATTTAATACTTTACTATCAGAATATAAACGAAAATAAAATAAAAAAGTCTTTGTCCTGACCCGGATTCGAACTCTGATCATCGGTTCGTGGTCAGAAACTTTGCGCACTGCGCCATGGAGACATGTTCGATTTGTATTCAATACTAGAATATAAAGAACTAATAAAAATATAGGATCTTCTTTCAATGCGCAGTAGGGAACGCAACGTTTACCGGCAGCCAGACGAGCCGCATGCTGTTCTAGAGAGCATAGTAAAAGATATATCAAAGAGCCAGACGTCTTAAAATACTTGTTATTCCTACGTTGCTAGCTCTCGTACTATTATATCAAAGCAATTTTATCATTTATTGTGCTTGAGTGACGGGCATTACGATTCTTTTTAGTGAATCGTATCGTACGGTTCAATTTCTGATAATGAATCGACTTTTACGATTCATTTTAGAATGCCTCAGAAGGCATACAGGGTGGTGACAATTTCGATGCTAAAGTTAGAGTTACGAATTCGAGATACTAGACAATATTTGCACCTCCCGTTTTGACACGTAATACTGTACATAAAAAGTAACTGCTGTCCTATAAAGTGCCAATTGGATTTTCAAAGCTTACCCGATATTGGGCTCATATTAAAAAAAACTTATTTTACTAGAAATTTTGAATCAAAATTGGATATGGTCTTATATATTTTCGCTCTATCTAATGGTATCTTCCTCTTCTAGTGCATATCCATTAATGGATGTTTGCGATAACATTTTCCATCGCTTCTCTGTTCCTAGCGGTATTTATTAACGACTGTACATCGTGTAGGCCTGCCCACTGTCTAACCTTCCTCAGCCATAACATTTTTTTCCTTCCGATACCCCTTCGGCCTTCGATCTTGCCTTCGATTCATAGATGCAAGAATTGATATTTGGGGTTTTGCATTATGTGCCCCAGGTATGCGGTATTTTTTTCTTCTTAATCAATTCAACACTTCGCGCTGTTTGTTAACACGTCTCAGAACTACTTCATTTGTTTACCTAGCCGTCCAAGGTATCTTCAGAATTCTGCGATATAGCCACATCTCAAAAGCCACTAGTTTATTAATGGCAGCTGCTTTTAATATCCAACCTTCCACATCATAAAGAGATCAGAGAGAGAAAAAGATAAAGAGAATCATTACCTAGACCGACCACACGTAACACTTTACGAATCTTAATCTGAGGTTAAGGTCAAAATCAGAACCGACAAGTACTTTTCGAAACCTCAAGAATGCCTGCCTAGCTTGATCGATGCGAAATTTAATTTCCTTGTCTGATGTCCAATCTTCGGAGAGTCAAATGCCTAAGTACTTCAATTTATCTACCCTTTATATGGGCCTTATATTAAATGTTATAATGCAGTTTTTAAACACATCTGGATTTCTGGGTATCATAAATTTGATTTTCTTGATGTTCATGTTAAAACCCATTGCTTTGCTCTGTTGGTTAGTAGGCTGTATATAAATTCAAAATGCGGCCATAAGAAGAAAGAAACTTGACTATCGTTGTGCGAAGTCTAATAGGCTTAGAAAATTTCAGAAAACGGCATTTAATTGACCGAGGCCGAAAAATTAAAACCACCAACTTACTTTGCAAGTGATAGAATAGATGTGAAGACATTTTAATTTAAAATAAACCCATCATTTTAATTTTTTTGATATACCTAGATCGGAAACTAATCAAGATACCGGGGATTTTTTCACAGGCGTTTGTCAAACTTCTAATAACCACAGCTTTTGCCCCATCTAACCGAATTCGTATTTCTTGTAGTTTCCAAAATACCAATGTTGAGCATCGAAATTGTCACCACCCTATACCTATACAGCACCTTCCCAGCGCGCGTCGGCGTCGTAAAAAACAAACAAACACAATACAAATACATATTTCTACTTTGTCTAAAGTTATTTTAAAACATACTTAAATTAAACAATATCAAATAGGTATGTTCTTAAAATAGTCTAAATTGATTTAATAATAATCAAAACATTTTCGAGTGGAAAGTAAATAAAAGTTTATGTACGATAATATTTTGAATTCCAATAAGGTTATCATAATTGTTTACTAATTAGCAGGTAAAATTAATTCGATTTTATTGTTAGATAAATATGGCGGCTCAATGGTCTAGGGGTATGATTCTCGCTTTGGGTGCGAGAGGTCCCGGGTTCAAATCCCGGTTGAGCCCAACTTTTTTGCTGAAACTTCATGATTAGATAAAAAAATACAATCAAATACTACATGAGAAGCACTAAAAACATTTTTTTTCTAAAATTGATTGATCATTATTGCAGTTATTAATAAAATTATTTTTCTTTTTTCCCTGTGTCTTATAGAGACAATATAGGGGGTGCTTTATCTGTTTTATTATAGATACCAAAAAATAGAGTATCTATGTATTAGAAAAATTGATACTTTAGAATTTATAATACAACAATTTTTTGAGACTTCCTTGTTGTTTTTATTTAAAAAATATCACTCGTATCATTAAATAAGTATGACCCTTTTACTGTATGTATTTAATATACATATACTAAGCAGATGATTGAATAAAAACTGACGATTAATGACATTATTTATATAGTGAATATCGAGGTGAATATCATCATGTCATCGTTTTTTCTAAGAAAACTTAACGACGTTTTTTTTTATTCACTCGATAATGATTGGAGATCGCACTGTATTGTAAATAATTATATTGTTATTTTTGTAAAAAAGTTAACTTCATACTAGTTGTGATAACATTGACTTATTAAAAAAGAAAATATATATTATGGTGTTTGTTTTGTATCTAACTGAATTATATTTAGTTAATTAGGTATTTGACTGCATTATCAGAATTTATTAACTGTTTTTTGTAAAAAGTAGGGCTCAACCGGGATTTGAACCCGGGACCTCTCGCACCCAAAGCGAGAATCATACCCCTAGACCATTGAGCCGTAATATTTGTTTAAACTAAAATCACGTTTGCTATTGATTAGCTACGTTCACTTCCTACCTACATTCTAAAAGCGCAACGCTTATTATATACGTAAGCGTTGCATGCGTCACAAAAATACAGGGTGGCGCCTCTCATACGACGCAGAGGCTCCAAAGAAAACGGTGTTTTATTTCGAAAAGGAAATTTTGGGAGCATATATAG